TGGACGAGGTTTCACTATGACGTATATGGAAGGGGAGCTGGTTCCAGAACGTGGGCCCATGGAAGCAGAAGGAGCGTTCACCGATGGTCTTAGTTTTAGTTCTTGGGATTGAGAGGGTTCTACTGTCAATGGAAGAACGTAGTTGTCTTGTGGGGATGTCTCAAGGCGAACACGTGGTGTCAAGATTTTGCCACTGTCGGATGAGCGGAGTTGTCTAGTGGGTACATAGGGCGTCAGCAGCTCGTTCAGATAGGACGGCGCCAGGCCATGTAGACAGCGGTAGCACAAAGTTGCGATTTTGTACTCTATGCGAGCACGCACCGGCAGCCAATGCAACTTTCTCAGAAGTGTTTTTGCATGGTCGAACTTGCTTTTGCGGAGAACAATTCGAGCCGCATTATTCTGTGCTATCTGAATTTTATCAAGGAGCATAGCTGGAAGACCCACCATGAGAGAATTGCAATAGTCCATGCGTGATAGCACAAATGCAGACATCAGCCTCTTTGTTGCATCAATTGTTAGGAAGGGCCTGATGTGGCTAATAAGCTTTGTATGTACCTCCTTCTTTTTTGTTTTTGTTGTTCCCTTTCTGCTTCCATATATGAAGACCACAAGGGAAAAAACAGCAGAGTCACATTTTTTTTGTTTTGAGATATTCGATTTTTAAAGTTCAAAACCATGCACATTAAAAATGTGTAAACAAAATGTAATTTTTAAAATGCATTTCACAAGAGTGTCCATTTCCCTGAGTTATTAAGTAGATAAATTAATTCAAACTTGAATGTAACATGATTTATTTCTTTATAGTAGAGAGTGGGGTCAAAATGGACTCTGCCGTTTTTTCCCTTGTAGTAATTTATCAAGGTTTGATCATTGCTAAATATCTATTTAAAACTATTTTATAAGTAAATTTTCACATTAAGGGGTCACTGGCAAATTACGTCACGCTTAGAGGGGGTGGGTTGAGAATATGCGACACATTTTGGGAGGGGGAAAGGGGGGGGGGGGCAAAAATTGTGACGTCACTTTTTTTCATCTCTAAAAGTTTCTAATTCGTAAAAAAAAATCACAATTTAATTGATTTTTAAAACATTAATTTGAGGTCAACTTTGCCTCAGGTATTATAGTATGGTACCATGAAACTCGGTTTTCTAGTAATACTGCATCTTATCATTATAGCAGTGGTTCTCAACCTTCTTAATGCCGCGACCCTTGAATGCAGTTCCTCATGTTGTGGCGACCCTCAACCATAAAATTGTTTTTGTTAGTACTTCATAACTGTAGAGGATATGCATTTGCCGATTGTCTTATGTGACACCTTTAAAGGAGTCATTCGACCCATAAAGGGGTCGCCACCCACAGGTTTAGAACTGCTGCATTATGGGAAAATGTTGAAGAATAAAATAATATCTTAGTTTAGTTATGAAAATTTTATGTATGTTTTGAGTTTTTTTAGGTGATGTGACAAGGGGGGAGGGGGAGAATTTGTGACATTTCGTGACAAGGGGAGGGGGTGTCTAAAAAGTTTATTTTTAACGTGATGTAATTTACGAATGACCCTGCCTTAGGCAAATTATTTTTGTTTAAACTATTAATATAAGAATATGGATCATGCCTATAACTATCATTAAAAAAATATATTATTTAGAATTTAAACTGAAAATCAGATATAAAATCATACTTTCTAAGTTTCTGATGTGCTTCTTACAATTTTGGCCCAATATTAGTTTTTTTCCTCTAGCAGTAGCTGTAACTGTATGAACTTAAGTTTAAGAGTAAAGTCAGTAAAGAGTAACAGACCGAGATAGCAAGACAGACACTCGAAGATAAAGAGTTCAGGGGGAGTCAGACACAGAGTTAGAGCGAAAGGGAGAGAGATATACAAACTAACTGAGATAGACTGACAAGGAGAGACACAGACATGCAACAAAAAGTGATAGACTAGACTTGACTAGTGTTAGAGCGACAGCGAAAGAGACGAGACGGATACACACATTAATTAACTGAACATAACAAAACAAGGGTAAAATGCGATTTAAAAATACAAATTTTATTTGTGTTAATGTTTTAAGTCCATTTATCGTGCTTATGTTAATTTGTTTTGTTTTCTTGTGGTAGGAAATAAAAAAAATTCAGGTCGGTCTGTTAACTTTTTCGTCGGTTTCTCGGTCAGCTGAGCGAATCGGTCGCCATCTTTAAATTTTGTTTACACTATAGCTATCTCTCATTGGACCTTTAAATCACGTGACTTCAAATGTCACGTGATATTAGTGACTTAGCCCCTTTTTCCATTGTAAACATTGGACTATGCTTCTTTTTCCATTGTAAACGGATTTTTCGTTTCCATTTTTCTTATGGACTTAGCCATTTTTTCTCCTTTAAACTTAATTCAGCACCTTCTATTTTTAACTGGCTATAAGTCAGGGGTGATAACTCAAAAAAATTAAAAATGGACTCTGCCGTTTTTTCCCTTGAGGTCTTCATATGGACTACTAGAGCTCTCTTCCAGTATTCCATATATGGACCACAAGAGTTCTTTGCCAGTCTTCCATATAGGGACTTCTAGAGTTCTTTGCCAGTCTTCCATATAGGGACTTCTAGAGTTCTCTACTAGTCTTCCATATAGGGATCACTAGAGTTCTCTGCCAGTCTTCCATATATGGACCACTAGACCTCTCTGCCAGTCTTCCATATAGGGACTACTAGAGCTCTCTGCCAGTCTTCCATATAGGAACTACTAGAGTTCTCTGCCAGTCTTCCATATGGGGTCTACTAGAGCTCTCTGCCAGTCTTCTTCCATATAGGGACTGCTAGAGCTCTCTGCCAGTCTTCTTTCATATATGGACTACTAGAGCTCTCTGCCAGCCTTCTTCCATTAAGGGACTACTAGAGCTCTCTGTCAGTCTTCTTCTATATAGGAGCTACTAAGAGTTCTCAACTAGTCTTCCATATAGGGATCACTAGAGTTCTCTGCCAGTCTTCCATATAGGGACCACTAGATCTCTCTGCCAGTCTTCCATATGGGGACTGCTAGAGCTCTCTGCCAATCTTGTGAGTGATTTAATACCGAGCTCTCCACATGCAGTTATAGCTTGGTAATTCCATCTACGACTGCAGCCCTGTGATTTCGAATGGTCATTATCGCATCTTGGACTTCTTCTTCGGGGATGTTGGGTTCTGTGTACCCTGGTTTGGTGGGATTAAAGCTAGTTAGTACATTTCTCTCAGCAGGATTGAGCAGCTCTTTAAATTAATCTACCCATCTCTGTTTGACCTTACTTTTATCAAAGAGCGGAGTAACATTTGATAACATGTATATTAAAATCAAACAATATTACCGTACTTTGTATGTTAGCAGAAATGGCTATTCATAAATGGGTTAAGCTGGATTTAGTCATGATGAAAAAAATAACAATAACTATGTTGAACTTGAAAAGAAGAGGAGACTTAATAATTAAATGTAATATGTGCCAGTGCATGATATAATTTAAAAAAAAAACACACACATACACAAATCCTTTAAAATACATTAAATTCAGAATAAACAAGGCATACTACGTCACTAATCTTTACCAGTACACACTGGAAGTTGCCAAAAGCAGAGACTCGGGAGTTGTGATTTTATGGATAATCAGCTGTTTCTCAGGCCCCACCCTCTCTACACAGTAGTGAACCCAAGGGAACCCAGCGGCGTGGTAAGGTTTGCTGGAATTTTCATTGCGTAAAATTTCCAGATTTCAATGCTGGGATTTCCTGGTGGGTGTTGGTTTCCATCTAAGCTTTCAGTCAGATGCCCCCCTTCACTTAGAGGAGTCACCATCCAAGGCAAACCAGTCACATCTACACAAGTTGCTAGGGTGGGTTATTTGTTTGTCTGGTTATCGCACGGGTTTGAGTTCCAGCCAACGAAATTGTATGTCATGTTCGCAGTGGAAATAATCTTTCAGGTT